CCCTTATATGTGCTATTGTTTTAGAGTAGAAATTTTCTTCCGTAGAAGAAAATGGGCCAAACTTGGAGGTACTGCTATACCAAGTCAACCCGTGAGAAAACTTAAGCAAGCTTAATGCTTTCTCTGAAGACAAAAATACTGTTAACCATATTAGATAACACAGTGTGTTATCAGTTAGCGGTTAAACTAACTAGAACAGATACTACACTTTGATCTTAGCCAAAAGGCCGAGAAGCGATAACATCCATCGTTTCATCAGTTTTTTTATGCGTTTCGAGCCTATTTCCGTTACTTTTTGTCCCTGCGATTCGAAATTTAGAACCTTTTTGTAGTAATATCTTATTTTCATAAACGCATGGAGCGGTTTCCACTTCATATTGATTAAGAATTCTTGTGAAATATTTTTTCAATGCTAATTCAAAAATATTAGAGCGACTAGATTATTGAGAATAGGTTATTAACGGCTTTTTTTTTTTAATTTGGTAGCACTTTGAAGTTTTCTTTTACAAACGGTAGACGGCGTTTTTTGCAAATTCAGCAATTTGTAGATGGCGTATGATGGCATTTTTAACGGATGCTTATGTCTGTAGATGGCGTATCTTTCCAATTTATCAGTCGTTTTATATTTGATAGATGGCGTCATATATATAGCGAGCGTTAATTGTCGATTATCATATTTTTAGTTTAAAAAGAATATTCCTTTAATGGCCTTTCTGTGTTCTTTAATTTTTTGTCGTCGAGTTTTAACATTTTGTTTTCATTGGAGGAAATAGAACAGATGTTGTTGACCCTCTTCATTGTATAATGTTAACGTTTAATTTTCTGTTTTAAATTTATCAAGATCATCGTTCGATTTATTTTATAAAGTCCCAGTCTTTTTAATGTTTTAATTCTCTTATTTAGTAATTAATCTTTATAAGATTTGAGGGTGTATTTTTTTATTAGGTTTGTTACAAAGTACTTTCGTCCTTTCTTAGTATTATTAGTGGTGTTATTAAAGCTACTTCCTTAACGGATGTTTTTCACTCGTCATAAAATGAATGTGCAATAAAATTGATAGTTCTTTGACTAGTTTCAGTCTTTGATTGTAAATTGAAAGTTTATTAGTCTTTGTAACTTTTTGCCTCTTTAATTTTGCCTTTTGTTTAAGTATATATTACTATATGATAGTATGTAATAATCAGTAATACGAATTGTAACGTCGCAAATTTTGGTATTGTTTGCCAGTTGCTGTTTCATTTTAGATCTTACGGAAGCTTTCGCTGCGCCATCTTTTGCGAAAAATAGGCAAGGGCCTTCTGGTACGTATAATAAAAGGTTTGTTGTTAAAAAAGACCTGAAAAGAAAATCTCCTGGATCTAGTTAATTGCTTTTAGATTAATCAAAACATATTTTTACGACCTGATTGCTTTTAACTTGCCTACAAATTATATTTACTTGAACATGATTTGTAATCTTGATCTTTTCATACATGAAATCGTTTTGAAGTGGTCTTTTTCATGATGGAAATTTTTGTGAAAAAGGTAGTTGTTTTCATAACTGAATGTTTTTCGAGATTACACTTTAAAAGTAGCGTTATATAGTAAGAGGAAAAGAAACATAATGACAAAGATTGGCTTGGTGAAGTGTTATAAATCGAAATTTGATACAAACTTTCTATAGAAATGGTGTTTGTTTAAAAAAATACAAACTAATAATAAACGGAATAAAGGAAGAACACAGAGCCGGAGAGTATACAAAATCGGAAAATATTGTATGCGTTGATCGTTTTGTGTAACTGTCGGCATGCTTTGATGTAAAGGTGCATTGCACCGGCTTTCTTTATTGCACATTTCGTTTGTTTTGTGTTTTAATTTAATGGTACGGCGCCAATGCGCAATTGAACGTTTGTACTATACTGATCGCGTGCGCGTCTAGATCTTTGTCTATGAATTGATCAAAGGTCTAATTGACTCGTCTCCAACGTCGTACCGACCGTATAAGTTTCTTTTAAGTTCATTTTTAATTGTTTTATTAATGAATACGATCCGTTATACGGCTAAATTATCTGCTACCGTCATCTTTAGGTTTTAATTAAGAACCGTGAGGTGTAATCCGATTTTTAGCTTTTCGAGTGTCTCTTAAAAAGCTGTTCGTGAGCTATCACTCACGAATCGTTCAACGAACGCGTGTCTTTTGAAGTGGAACGGAAAGGCGTCATAAAGAGCGTCGCGTGGGAAGACGGGTACCGTTCAAAGGCGGGAGTAGTGACAAAACGAAACGGCTCAAAGGATTCGAGGCAAAGCCCCGTTCTACTGCACTATCAACAATCCGCGGCTCGCCCTGCGTAAACAATTGAGTCAATGCCTGAATATTACAGCGAATAAAAGGAGCCGGCACGTATTTAGCATAATCTTGCGCACCTGCGTTAGCGCCTCTTCATTATCACTAGGTATCGGCTTTATGTCTTTCTACGGATCAACCCCGCGTCACTAGGACACCCATCGGCTATCGAACAAACAACAAGTAAAACAGGCCACCCGTAAAATTTAAGCTCCGCCCACTCCTCTTCTGTTAGCAAATAACCTCTCAGAAAATTGTCGGATCGCTTTCTTATTGGACATTCGAACAAGCTGTTCGCTGATAGCGTCACTCTCACAGCGCAAAAGTGTCAATAAGGTTGAGATCGATAGTGAGTGTTACAGGACAGTGTTAGTTGGCTGACAAACTTTGACGAGAGTATGCCAGAGATGAAGCCCAATAAAGGAGAACTCGAACACTTGTTAAAATCCGTTGATCAAGATGTTGCCTCAACAAGGCATAAGGCCGATCCTTCTGAGTCAAGCGTCCGTATTACTCTCGAAGATTTCGAACTTTGGAGTAAATTCAAGGAGCTGACAAATGAGATGATAGTCACAAAAAGTGGACGGTATGTTCAATCATTTCTAATTTTATTATACAACTTACGAGTTTATATATTTCATTAGAATGTATATATAAATGTTTTTGCACCGGTTTGTGTTAATAGTTAATCCAATCCCTTGGCGAATTATATTTAATTCTTGCTAATTTTCTCCTACGTAATCCTTTTTTTGTCCCTTACCGCAATTCACACCGAACGTGTGTATGAAACTTTTACGAACGTGTGCCTTTGTGAGAAACTTATCAAAGTAAAAAAAATAATACAAACGATATCAGCACTGTTCAATCGAGTGACTATAAAGAGAGCTTATCAGCGTTTACGTGTCAATGCGTGGTTTGAATCCATTCGGCCGTAAGATAATTCTTTACACTCGTCTTTGTAATTCAATTCAACTTGCCCTCCCACACTTGAAACTTCCCCCATTTTTTAAGGTTTCGCGTAAACAAGAGTGTTTTTCGAGAAGGGTGGTCGGCGAAAGACAGGAATGACGCCACTTTCCCTCATGTAATTGAAATTTTAGGAACCCCGATCGTGGGACTTGGACCCTTTTTCTGAGAAAGGCAATAGGAATAAGCCGTTCCCTTAAGCCCCTTCCCAAAAAACGACAATGAAGTAGACGAGAATATTAACTACGTATTCGTGACGTCGGCCAAAGACGTCGGATTCTGCTGTTTGATGTGACCCGTTTATTGTTGCAGGGGCAATAGGCCTATATTTAGCGCTTTCTCATGGGAACTTTGCAACAAAATTAGTACGTTTATTATTTTCATAACAGAATCGGAAAAAACCTTACTATTAGTATTATAGGTTAAAACTTTTCACAAATGATTGACAGACAGAGACTTACCTATACGGTTCTATTGAGCTGCCGTTGATCTGTCCGCCTTATTTTGGCTCACGTTTCTCTCAAGGGCCGGTTCTTTTCTCGGGTGCGTCTATCGTCCATTTCCCCTTTAGCCCTCTTGAACGCGCAACAGAAGAAAAAAGAAAATTGTTTGACGTTTATTACTTATAGAAATAGTGGATTTTTTTCCTTTTTAGAGAAAGACAGTTTGCGGTCATATCAGTGTTTGAGTGATTGTGTCCAATTTTTGATTGGAGAAATGCAACTAGACGAAGTAGGTAGAGAGGAGAAAAGAAAATAGCCTTCGATCTTTGTGTATATTTGAATTAACGCGGCGTAAAGAACGCGAACGCCTCGCCGACCTTTATGAACATTAAACGCTATTGTATTCGAAAGAAGTCTAGATATGTGCTGGTATCATATTGATTCTACGCTTCGCTATTGTAGACTCAAACGTGCTTTTTCGTAATTGGCTACAAAGGTGTTTGCATGCCCGAAAAAACGCCGATCACCTGCAATCGTGTACTGTTTGCTTAAAGAGAGCAAATTATGCGCCAATTATCGGTGTTGATCACAGAGGCTAGACAATACTGTGGATAGATCGAGTGAAGTAGGTACTTAACAGTCCTTAGACGATCAATTATTACGTTCTTCTTTGATAACGTCCTGTAGCAGTGTAATATTTATATCTAATTGCTATATTATGTCGTACAAGTTGAAAATGTATGGTTTCTTTATCCACTTCAATTTACCTTTTTGATATGGAGACACGCGTAGGTGCTTCTGAATTGTCAGAGCAGCTATACAAAGAGTATACACCGTTCTGGCCTATATCAAAATACACAACACTCCGGTTAAAATTCCATTATATACGTATTATACATAAATATACGAAAAGTCATTCAATAACTTTCGGTTTCGGTCCTTCAAAAGAAATTCAATTATGCGTGAATAAATATACGGTGAACGTATATATATGCAGGGAAGCCGAATTATAAATAAAAAATAATTTAAATAGATTTTTTTAGATTCTTCGCGCCTATATAGGGCTGTGCGGTAGGTAAACTTAGGTCTCGAATTCCCTTCTGGGCTTTGATAACATTCGCCAATCTCTAGTTAAAGAAACATTAAATCCTTCACAATATCGTTTGACCCTGATCATTTTATCTATCCCACCTTATTGCTTTCTCATCCCAATTACATATCTATTAAAAAATTTTATAGTTTGATTTTATTCCATTTTCTTTCTAGACGAATGTTTCCCGTACTTAAAGTGAATATCAGTGGACTCGATGCAAACGCCATGTACACACTGCAGTTGGACTTTGCTCCAGTTGATTCTCATAGATGGAAATATGTGAACGGAGATTGGGTTCCTGGTGGTAAAGCAGAGCCAGTTGCACCAGGAGCAATCTACACTCACCCAGATTCCCCTAATTTTGGAGCTCACTGGATGAAGGATTCTATAAATTTCTCAAAAGTTAAACTTACCAACAAGATGCATGGCAATGGGCAAGTAAGTGACCCATTTCTTTTAACCAATAGGCAACAGTCTACCCAGCCCCGAACGTTGATTGGCTAATAGATTAGTGACGTCCACGATGACGTAAAACACATAGGCCGGTGACGTAACTTTATGTCGGTTGTATATGCCCAACGGTACCTTTACAACGAACGGCTACTTTTGCCGGCCGACTTTGATGTTGAACAATAAGGAAATTTTGGCGAGCAATCGCTGTTTTATTTCTTCTTGTGCGGCTTGGCTTTTTACCCTCGTATAAAAATCTTTTTCTCCTTTTCCATTAGATAATGCTCAACTCCTTGCACAAGTATCAACCCCGAATACACATAGTGAAAGTTGGAAATCGGGAAAACAAGCGAATACTTTGTACGAAGTCGTTTGAAGAAACGCAATTTATAGCTGTAACAGCTTATCAGAACGAAGAGGTTAGTTGTAAAAATAAATTACTTTAAAAGATGAGTTTACGAACTACTTCAAGTGCTACTCGACGCATCATATAAACGTAGTAGGAAAAGGAAAAGGCTATTCATTTCTCACCAAAGTTACATAATGAAAGTAATCTAAAAACGTGCAGTGTACAAAAGGGACTAGGCATTCGGCGGCATTCTACAGAAGCTCGCCCCTCAGAACTTGTGCATACATCGCCTTTTTCATTTTTCTTTAATTGTTTACAAAATATTTTGCCGCTTAACAGAAGCGATGAGCTCGCTAGGAATTTTTAACAGCTTCTCGGCATTTATTTAACCGATTTTATATGACGCAACACTTAATTAAACCCATTTTACAGAATTCGTTTTAAGCTTATTCATTTTAATCCCTAACGTTCCTTAAACCTATTTCATACAGATAACCGCTTTGAAAATTAAGTACAATCCGTTTGCCAAAGCTTTTCAAGATTCGAAAGATCGACCAGATCAGAGGGATATATCTCAATTAGACGATGTGTCCGACGAACAGAAGCGTTTCGCATCTTCGTGTAAGTATTGTTACAAAATTTCTTCATTTTGTAAATAAAGGTCGTATTAAATTACAAGAAATCTAATTAACGGGTGCTAGACGTCGCAAGATGCCACGAGAATGGCACTATTCACGTAAAAACCCCGATCTACAACGCTGTACAAACAAGCCCCTCATTCGCAACTACCCGATACATTTCTTTGTTTTTATTTATGGCCCTTCGGACGCTGGTCAAACGACTGTCTACATAAAACTATATACCTATAATAATTATATATAGGCGTTTTATAGAAACACTCGAACGCCACATGCGTTCATACAGCGATCTGGCACGTTACCGATAACGAACCATTTCAAATCGTTGCTTATCGCCGAACACGTGCGTACCAACTGCAAATTTCATAGTCGCTAAACGAACTTAAATCAAAAGTTATATAGTCTGACGTCACTGAAAACTTATCTTAAATCATTGGCAAAGATATATAGTTATAAAGTTATATTTATATATAAATATACTATATATATATACAGTGTCTAGTGTACGTTTATAGTTTATAACTTATATTTTTGTAAGATTATTTAGATACTCTTCGCTCACACCTAAACATCCTCAATAAGCATATATATATATATATATATATATATATATATATATTATATGTCATATAATATATTATATATATATATAATATTATGTTTTAAGCCTATATCATGCAACCGTAATAATGTTTGACCGATTTTGAATAGATTAAGTTTACACAGAAAACATTGCTTTCCCTCAACTGTGTATGAAGTACAGAATATACTGTATAAGTTTTTCATTTCCAGATTCGTCACCTGCTTGGTTCTATCAAGCCCCGTCTCTCACGCAACTGCAGTCTCCTCTAGGTATACCCGGAGCTTGTGACCGACTTCCAGCTTTTCGGAGTAGATATTCACCCTATTCGATACCAACGCCGTCGCGACCCGGCACGCACCGTAAGTCACTCAAAATGCGGATCCGACTATAAAATTGTAGGCCTACCGGTAATAAAGTTGTGTGTGGTCTGTCTTTGATGTGTATTCCTAACAACTTTATTGCAAAAGCGCCCCTTTTGCCGGTATGCCACTTTCAATTATATGCGATCAATTTTCTCCACCCCCTTACAGCTTATTCACACGATGCGGGATTATTTGCAAACTGTACCAGTGATAGTTGGCAAACAGGCATGCTTTCGCCGTCGACAACAACTAATCAATATTCGAATTTATGGAATATAGCAGCGGCTGCAACTCCTACTCAACCTTGCGGACCATCTTATTTGACCCGGACACCAACTGGTACATATTTAACTACTGACAATTCCAACGAAAACGTTCCAACAACGACCACTTCTTCACCAACCCACTACGAAGTTCATGCTACAGCTAATTCACAGGTAGACGCGTTAGACGCGTTGGCCTCGTTTGCCGGAAGTAAACCAGCCTGGAGTCCGCTTACACCTCCCCCTGTATAAAGACAAGAGCGTATACATATATAAAAGATATATAATATCTATATATAAATATAAATATATATTTATATATATATATTTATATATTATTTGTACAGTTTTGAATATATATTCTACGTAGACGGATGTTTTTTTCTAAAATAAATCCCTATGAGCTATAGATATATTGACGATTGCACCTGGTATATAAGGTGGCCTGTTTCTCATTACTCCGAACTATTCTAATCCGGAATTAATGTTTATTCAAGCCGTATACAAAAAACCGAGCCTGTATCGAGATCGTCATGCACGCTTCGTCACTCGAATATTTAGTTAAGGCGAACGCTAAATTATATGTTGACCCGCGTCCGAGCGTGCTTCGATTTAAAGGCGTCGGCGAACGGAAGCGGTAACTTCAAAAGGCGGTTTTCTTTTATCTTCGTGGCCTATGCTCCTTTCGTCGTCTGCCCGAGTCAATTGCAGTTACCTTGTCTTACGCCATTTTTTCGTCATTTTGTTGCATTTACACCCTGTTCAACATTTGTAAATTGCAACTATTTCGACAATGTTACGCTTCTAATTTACGTTACAATTCACTTTTGAATATTTAATTTAAATTGAGGTGCTTTTTAACCAATACGGTCTTTCAACGAAGGTGTGTGAACATCCCGCTATAATTCCCTTTTATCGGATGCGCTTAAGTAATTCTTTTCCCAACAAAAAGTAATGAATATAAATTTACTTAGCCCAAATAACTTTCCTACATTCGATTTATTACCCAGGTTTAAACAAAAGAACACTTTCTCTTTCAAAAATATAAATGCCGTGGAATGCTAACATTATTCCTATATATGGAACCGTTTAGACTATACATAGTTGTAAAACTCTTTCGAATGGATCAGAAGAAGGATCCGTCTTTTCTTTATGCGTATTTTCTCTGTTTTCAAGTTTCAGCTTTCAGTAAATTTAGTTTATACTATAAGCTTCTGTAAACCTAATAAATCTATTATTTCGGAGGCCGAGTTTCGACTTTATAAGCATAACTTTTTGCATATATTACACTAATCCTTCTTTGGAAGTCGGTCTGCTGGAAAAAGAGGGTCGAAATTGCTTTTTATTTATTCATTTATTTTTATAAAGTTCGCAATAAATAGGCCTAGTTTTTTATTTTAAACATAGAATCAAAACTAGATCGTAACCTTTATATTCGAATGTCTGTAGGTTTTGTCAAAGCTATCTTTATATAACTTTATTCGATTGATATGCAGAAAGTAAATTGTCTATAGGAATAGAGATGAAACCTATAGTTAGTTGAAGAGTGATGGTGGGTGAGAGATATATGAATATATACAGTATAGTAGTTAGCTATTTGATTAATTGTAATAATTACATAATAGAAAATAAGTAATTTAGTTAATTAATAAAGAAGCCTAAGAATTAATTATAAAATAATAACATAAATCAATAAATTAAGTAGAAAGGAAAATTATATGAATCATTAAAATGTACAATTAAATTTAAAAATACCGCTTCAAAAAAGAAAAAAACTATTATTGACATAAGTTAAAAAGGAAATAAGACCACGTAGACACAGACACTTAAAATATTCTACCAATCACGTTATATATACCCTATTCAATATACATTTTCCTCATCTTTCTACCTATTTGTCTTTACAAAGATTCGCGAAAAAAAAAAACATTTTTCAATGTAATATGACTCAAAGTTTGAGTTAAAGCGTTTCTAAGGATTACAATAAAAGTATAATATCCTAGACCTAATTTATTTTTCTCTCTCTCTCTCACTCGCGGTTCTTGAAGGAGCGGTAGGATATTTTTCTTTTATCACGGAAGTTGAGATTAATGGAGAACGGAAATTCGTCAGAGAAATTTATCAACAATGTTACATCTGTGTTTTATGGTGTCGTTTTTTACCCAAATAAGAACAAAAAGATACTATTTGAAAGAAAGATTTATTAGAATTTTAAAAATTGATGATAATGTGGGAAAAATTCCTTCTTAAGATAATAAAACTAGTTCGAAGGTCGAATCATGATTAATTCATGAGAAAAAGGAACTGACTTAATTCTTTCGTTTACCTTACTCAATTTCTTAAGGCTTTTTTTTTCTTAAGCGCCACCTGATTCTTTATCCTAACAATTTGCGCCATCTAGCGAATTTTTGTAAACAATGTGTACTTTTTTCTTCTTTTTTTTGTCTTTTTTTCAGTCTCCGTCTGAACTTGTTTATTTAATTAACAAAATAAATTTTTTTTACGATAAGAAGTAAATAAAAACTTTATTACTTTTACTTTTTTTTGTTGGGAAAATGTCAATTTGTTTCATCATCATTCCTGGAATAATTTTAATTTTGATGTAAAAGTCTCCTTTTAAAAATGTTGACATTTTCGCGAAAGTATTTACTTATCTATTCCACTTTGTCCAATTCAAGTTCTCCAAAGGGCAGAGTTTTCTATGGAATGTTAAAAATTTACTATTTTCAATTCAAAAGTAAATATTTCTTTTTTCTATTCCAGCGTTCTCCGCTTTCTTCTTCTTCGTCTCCTTCTTCACGTAACTCTTTGAATATTCATTAAACATAATTTTTTTTTGTTCTCTTTTTATTTAGTTGCAATGTTCTATTAGACTTTTTTATTTGTCATTTAAGATAAAATATTTCCCTTTTAATACTCTTTTTATTTAAGAAGAGGGAGAATAAAATCTTTTATTAACCTTTTGAATATTTATGAATGTATATCAAATACAAGATAGATGGCAGCACTTGAAAATAAAAAAAGCAACATTATTCTAATTTATTCATTTGTATTGATGAAAATATCACATTAAGTTAGGTTTATTAAGGATTTCCTTTGTATGAAAAGTCTTTTTCTTGTTATTCTGATTATTTTTTGACAACATGATCATATAAAACACGGGTCGAATAACAATAAATATCACAAAAGAAATGTCAAAGGTCAGGGCAAATACAAATATAAAGATATAAGTTTTTTTTTACAGATATTGTAAACAAATCCATTATACAGAGAAAATTAGACAGTTGATCTTGTTAAGGAAAATATATAGAGTTGATTTAGTTAAGGTTCTTAAACATAGTGTATAGAGTTTCATTACCCCGACTGCCTCCTCTCCACACCCTCACACATATAACATATATAAACGGCACTTCTTCACTATATATGATTTAAAAAAGAAGAATAAATGTTTAAATTGTTTTATTATCGATTAATTTTCAACGCAATTGATTTCACCAAAGCAATTCAAAAAGATTATCATTGACTATTAGAGTATTTTTATCATCAAATACTTCTGACATACTTGCAAGATTGTATTGCCATCTAGTGTACAGTAGTAATAGTAAGTTTATCCTTAAAAATGACACCACGTTGATATCTTAAATAAACAGTTTAGGATCAAACGTAAACTTTAACACGTATATATAAAAAAACTGAAAATTGAAAGATAGAAAAATTTGAATCATTATATTATATGACAACAGCCTAGCAGCAAATTTTGAGAAGATTGCTTTGATGATGGTAAAAAATTTTTGTCCAAGAAAGACCAAGAGTATTGAAAAGTAAATACCTTGTGTCGGCGGTACCCGCATGGTATTTAGGTAATAAGAATACTTGTACAGATAATGTATATTTATTATCTTTATCTCTTATCTTTTCTACTGTGTGTTCATCGGGGGGAAGTTGTTTCATTTTTAGAGAACAAATATATCTTTTGGTCTTTATCAAAACGTAACATCCTGTAAAGGTTCAAAGGAGCTCAGTTTACAGATAGCTTACAAAAATGAATATTGTCGCTACGTCCTTATTTGCACGTAGTCGTTGATGGGTAATAATGCGAATAACATAAGAGATACTTAAATTATGAGTTAGTGGACATTATCTTATACAGTATCGACAACTTTGGCGTTGATGATTCACTCTTTTCCATTAAAATCAATGTGTTTCTTAGAAATTGTTGATAAAGAAGAGTACAATAACAGCTAGTGCATATAATATCCAAAGTGACTTTCGAACAATACGAATGGCAAGGATCAAGAATATTTTTGACACAATGAAAAACTTTCTTCATTAGTAAATTAAGTTTTCAATAAGAAGAGAATAAAGAAAGAAAGAGAAGAAAGGTTGAATTTTGTCCTCCACAAATTATTAAAGGTATAAATTAACTGGAAAAAGAGATATGAGTTATGCGTAGCCAGCACAATTGAAAATGGAATGTTTTAATGATTCTATACGTTATTGATATATTATTTTTATAAAGTATACTAGTATTTAGCGCTGAATTGTTAATAAACATATCATTTCTAAGAATATAGGTTGGTTTGCGACCTAGATTTAATATTTAATATATTTAATATACAAAGGTAACGAAAAGAAAAATATCAGTATAAGACGTCAAATTTCGAAGTATAGTAGAAACTAGGGATTTTATATGTTCGTCTTAATCAAAAATACATTTCCGCATATCAAAAATAATAAGAATATTAGGACTATGCAGCTACATCAATTATTCGCAGGTAAACGTTATGTGTTTGCAGGGAAATTTTTCAATGTTTATGATTAATAGATATACCTGGTGATATTTTCAAGTCCTTTTAAGATTGATAGAATCAGACACTGTAAAGATTTTTTTGTGAAATTTACTATTTATATTTATCTTCTTAGCCTATCGTATTGTTATGTAAATCTTGTTTGTTATCTATAAAAGGGGAGATCAATGAAATTATTCATTAAATAAAAGTTGTTTTTTCGCTATTTACCTTTAGAAATAGGTAATTCAAAAAATTCAATAAAAGAGAATATAGATTTCTAAATAATAAACTCTAAAAAGAAAATTGTTGTCGACTTAATTAATTTTCAATTTCTTCTCATAATTTTCATATTCTATACCTGAATTTCTGTTTTTTCCCTTCTTTCCCTATAACAATTTATCAATATTTGAATTTCTGTTTGGTCAAAACCTAATTATATAAATCGATTGAGCATTTATTGCCTAATTAAATATAAAGAGCGTTAAAAACGACTAAATAAATATTCTTGTATTTCATTCTCTTAGATTGCAATTATTTTATAATTTACTGTAGCCAAATTATTGTTATTGTTATCGATTCAAATGGTAGCTAGGAGCGTTTTTCTCCCGTCTTCATTTTATAGAATGAAAACTCTTATGCTATATCTTAAACGTTTAGTTAGCTAAATTCTTGTTGAATCCTTCAAATTATCCATCTCTTTCTGCAATCTTCACCAATATAAATTTAATTACAGTTTAAGATTAATTAGCACTTATCTTCATTATCTGTATATCTTTTTCTTAGTGTATAAACTTTGTTAATTACCTGAAAAATTAACGTAATTAAAATAAGGCGATCCGTCTTAATCCATTTTACCTTTAGAAAGAAAAACTCTATAAATTCAATTATAGTAACCACTGAAGCTCCAAGTAAAAGACCCATAAATCCTCCAATCTCTGAGATAAATGCCAAAAATTCAAACTTTTTCATTTGAGTAATTTTCTCATAACTCATTTCTTTATAAAAAATTTCAACTTTGACAAAGTTTCGCCTGTTAAATGAATAATTTAGTTATGTAAGAATAAGAATAAAATGAAGAAGAAGATGAGAAAATCCTTTAATACTAACAAAAAGAAATCTTCGTCAATATAAGTATTTTTCTCAAAGATTCTCAATTCTTTTTGAACATTAAAAAATATTGCTAATATCTGTGAAACTTGCTCCTTAAACTGAAAAGTTTTATTAAAAAGAAAGATTTCCATTGAGATGGTTAAATTTGTAAAACAATTGGCCATAATCATAAATGTATAATTATTGTCAATGCATAATTCAAAATAAGTTACGAACGGCTCGTCGGTTTTATTAAAAAACTTGAAAAATTGTAAATTATCAGGCAAAGGTTCAAAAAATTTATTCCATTCGCCAAGAATATTTTTCCCGAAAAAATTTGATATATCGTGAAAGTAGCCTGTCGTTTCTATTCGAAAATTGTCAAGTAGTCCAAGGAAATTTCTCATTTCGTATAATTTGTCAAGGATATCGTCATTATTTAAAATGTCTATTATCTCTTTCTTAGTAGCCGATTCGCGTATATTTGTCTTTTTTATGAAATTACTAAATTTCGTATGGAAATGTCTTAATATCTTTAGATTAAATATCGTATTTTTCCAAAAGAAATCGTAAATTTCAAGTTTTTTTCCATAGTCGTAAACATATTCACGAACTGTAGGTAAACGTTCAAGGAATAGTATAGTATCGTTTTCTTCTTTCTTGTTTATTAGACAATACGTTTGAAAATCTTCTTCGAACTGCAACGAATTTATTACTTCAATAGTGGTTGTCATAACGTATACGCCTTCAATAGCCATTGCCTTAGTAGTATTTGACTGAAGCCAGGAGATAATGTCATTTACTTGTCCCAGATGATACTCTAATATAGTTAGTCTCTTCATGCATTTTGTGATAATCTTTTCGCTATACGATCTATTTGGGAAATGTGTCATAATCACTTCTCTGAAGGTTGAATAAATATTTTGAATAAAGTTTAGAAAATTCGAAATAAGACTGTTCCGATTAGACCATGAAGAGATTATGTCTTCTAGTCGTTCATGTAAGGTATCTATATCGAAATTGGTACAATTTAATATGTCTGTTATAGTGGTAAGATTCTGCTTCCAACACGTATTCAACCAGTAAATTGTAAGGGTCGACTGAGAAAATACGTATTGACCTCCAAAATTAGACAATTCAGAAAAGTAACTTGAAAAGTTATTTTGCATTAAACGAATTGATTCATTTTTATGAACTTTACTAAGCATTTCCGCATCTTTTGAGAGATTATTAAGATCATTTCTTATTGCTTCCATAATTTCTTCAAAGAAAGGAATAGAATCGTTGGAGCTGTTCGATGATTTAGTTAATAAGCTTAAAAAATTGGTAATTTCAATCATAAAACTATCAAATGATGATAGGAAGGGGATAAAGTTTTTTAGATTGCGATTTCTCTTTGACTCTTCCAGTACCTCTGTGTATTCTAGAGATTTTTGAACGCTTTCTTTTAAATTTTCTAATAAAGATTCGTTTTGAAAGAGATCTTTTTCGACACTTATCTTTGATATCGCTGACGAAGAGATTGACGGTTGGTAGGAAACTTGAAAGCATGGCATGTGACAGTCACAATTAATCTTTTTGTACTTTAATTTATTAAGTTCGTTCTCAAAGCAGAGAAACTCTTCTCCCAGAGAACAGCTATTCACCATTTTTATGAATTCCCACATATAATAGAGATAAAGAGGTCTGCATTGACATTTTTTAACGACTATTTGAATTCTACAAAAATCAACACATTCAGCGTGAGATTTAAAATGCGAATTCTCACAATAACCGTAAGGCGGGCTTAAACTATGAATCTCTGTTCTCTTTACGCTGATAATTGTATGCATTCCGGTCGAAACAACAAAACCCAGATCGGAAACTAGAGGTTTATCGTGATCATCGTGGAGCAGTATTTTCAGTCCGGCGCCGTTATCAGGACCGGGCATGTGTTCATACTGTTCAATATTCAACAGGAGGGATAGTGCGTTGGCCCTCCCCCATTCAGTTACTATTATAGACTTGTTCGTGTTAAAAGATTGACAGATACCGTAATCTGTATAAACTGGGTGGAAATTCTGGAGACAGTTTGCACCAGCCCATGAGCAACGATAAATAAAATCATCTCCGTGATGAATAGCTTCGGTTTGTACGTTGAAAGCGTCAACAGAAGTATAATTCTGTGAAATTATCTTTAAAATTTCTGTTTTATTATGTAAATCCGAATCGTAAAGAATATTGAAGAAATTGAAAAATCCTAAATCTGCAATTTTAGTTAACCTGAAAATGTTTGTAAACGCATTATTCTTCATTCATTAAAATCCCAAAAGGCCACAAAAAAATCATTAAGAAATGTTTACCGAAATTTATTCTGATTGCAGATTGTAACTGTTGGAAATTTTAGTTTATCCGTATAAATAACCTCAACATTCACTGATGCTTCTTTCTTGTTATAATCTATACTCCTTGATATAACTTGAAAGATGAAAAGTCCCGAAATGCTTAGCACAATTAAAATCCAAAATATACGTCTAACAATTGAATGATTTCTTTTAAAAATGTTATTTATTCCATGGAAAGTAGTTTCTTGGGTAAATTCAGTCCACGTTATTATTTTAGGTTGCGGAGAAGATGAATCAGGAATTGTATCTACATTGATATTTGTCATTTTCAAATTGAAAATGAGAGATATTGTTCAAAAATATCTGATTATCATCGATACCAAAATAATTCAAAAAAGGCTTTTATTTAATGAAACAATAAGAAATTGTTTTTTATATAGTTTTTTTTTCATTATAATTGAAAGAAAATCGATAAACTGGTAAATATAAAGCTTAATAAGTAACGCAATAAACAGAAACAATTAGAATAACTATGATTGAATAAGTATTTATACAAAAATATTCTATTTAGATTATGCGCTAGGATTTCGTTTATCTTCTTTATTGAACGATTTTCTAATGATCTATTTTAAAAATAAAACAGCAAAGGAAGATGTAATTTGTTTGAATTTGACTTTTATGTTTAACTTACAATTGTTATAAAGAATTCAATAAATTCAATTAAAGTTACTACAGATCCTCCAAGTAGCATTCCCATAAGACCTCCGATCTCTGATAGAAAAGAGAGATATTCGAACGTTTTAATCTGTATAATCTTTTGATAGGATAATTCTTGATAGAATATATCAACTTTAGCAAAGTTACGCCTATTTTTAAAATGAAAAATAATTAAATTAGTAGAGAGGGAAGGTATTTAAATAACTTACAAAAAGAAATCGTCGTCAACAATCAACACCTTTTCAAAAGATTTCAATTCACTATTAACATCTAAAAATGTAGATATAGACGGTGATATTTTCTCTTTTAGTAATAACGTAATATTAGTTGCCTTAATATTAATGATTATTGACCAACGTAGGAAACAAGCTCCATATTGAAGTGATGTGAGATTACTGCTTGAACAACTAGTTAAATCAGTTTCAATTTGTTGTCCATAGACTTTGAAAAATTTTAATAGTTGCATTGAAGACGGTAAAGGTTGAAAAAACTTATTCCATTTTGATTTGTAGTTTGAATTGTAAGTATCATATATTTCAAAAGCTATATCTTGAAATTCTCGAAGTAAATTATCAATAAAAGTTAATGTATTACGTAATTCGTAGATTTTACTAAAAATTCTATCCTTATTAAGTATATCTATTAAATCTTTTTTCTTAGGTTGTTCAGTTAAAGTAGTACGTTCCATAAATTTCTTTAGACTCTCGTGGAATAATATCAACTTGTCTACATCTTCAAATATTATCTTTAAAGATTTATTATATGATGCAACTTTATGAAGGTATTTATTGAGCTTATCGTAGATAGTATAAAGATTTTTCCTATTATCAATCTCGATGTCTAAATGACAATATTCATTTTTCAAATAATTAACCTCTAAGGTATTTAACTTTTCAAAAAAGTAGATAAAATAAACGGCTCCTTTTGAACGATCATCAATTGAATTGGCTTCATGAAGTAAGTTCAAAGTTTTCTTAAAATCTTCGTATAAATCGTTAATTTCTTTTAAATCCTTTTGACATTTTTTAATAATATTTTCAAGTATTTCGTCATTAAATTCCTTGGTGGCAAATTTTTGTATTGTCTTAGGATAATCCCTATAAGATATACTTAACATGTTCAATTCTTGAATGATTTCATCTTTACTTTTATATACTTCAGTTAAATTGATTAGGAAAGCGTCCAATAGAGTTACATTATCCATATTTATGCAATCTAGTATTAGATTAGTATTGTTAGGTGTTTTTTCGAGGCAGGGAAGTAGATTTTTTATATTATTTACTATAGTTTGATTCAGAATAAGAAAACTTATGTAAAAAGCTGGTACTTTATAAATTTTCGACATAAAGTCTTTATATAATACAGAATTTTTAACTTTTATTAGTAATTCCAAGTTTTTGACAATGAGAGTAATATCATTCCTTATCGATTGTTCAAAATCGTTGAATATGTTTGAATTCTTTGAGCTATTAAGAAACTCGCTTAATTCGCTAAATCCGGATAAAAAGTTTTGAAATTTTCTTAAAAAAGGGGTAAAAATTTTGTCATTTCTTCTCCTTCTCGTATCGTCTAAGAATTCAGCGTATTCTAAAGTTGTACTCAAATTTTCTTCCAGATTCTTCCTTAGAGATTCGTTATGTAAAAAACCGTGCCCAGCGCTAAATCTTGATATTGAAGAAGACGATAAGGATGGTTCATAGACAATTGAGAAACAGGGAGAAAAACATTTGCAATTAATTGCTTTTAAACTAAAATTTTTCATCTCTCGTTCAATGCAATCGAATTCTTGCCAAAATGAACAATTTTGAGAAATATTCGAGTATCTTACACCGTTCATTTCGGCAAGAAAAGGAGTACATTGGCATTTCCGAAAAACCATTTGCATTCGACACGAATCAATGCATTCTAAATGAGATTTAAAACGAGAACTTTGACAGTTTCCATGAGGAGGATTTAATTGATGAAATTCCGTTTTCTTAATACTTACAAGCGTATTCATTCCCGGGGCTACTAAGAAACCTAAATCAGATACAAGGGATTTAAAATGGTTATTATGGAGCAAAATTTTAAATCCAGGGTTGTTGTGATATCCAAAGACATGTTCGTAATGTTCTACATTAAGCCAGAGGGATAGTGCAGTCGCCCTTCCAGATTCTGTTACTTTGAAAGATTTATTATGTATTGTATAACAGACGCCGTAGTCAGTTATTGTTGTGGAAAATTGCTGAGTGCAGTCTATTTCACCCAGCCAACAACTATGTACAAAATCTTTGGCTTGATGAATCGCTCTATATTTTAATTTTTGAACATCCAAAGATGAATAATTTGCTGCTAAATTTTTTAAATATTTCGTCTTATTTTGCAGTTCAGTATTATAAAGCGTTTGAAAAAATGTGTAATAACCAAATTCAGCGATTTTCGATAACCTTTAAGCAAAAACAACAAGTAACATGATATCTGCTTAGAACATTAAATAAACAAACCGAAATCTATTCTGGTTACAGATTGTTACTGTAGGAAATTCCAGTTCATCTGCGTATATTACTTCGACATTAACGGCTGCTTCCTTTTTTCTAAAGTGGATACGTCTTAACGTAACTTGAAGAATAAAAAGTGTGAGTGCACAAAGTACAATCAAAATCCAAAAGATTTGCCTTGAATACGAAATATTCGTTTCAAAGATATTCTTTATTCCGTGAAAAGTTGTTCTATGAGTGAATTTTTCCCACTTTTTCTTAATTGATGACGTTTTCTTCAACGGGAAATTATTAATTTTATCATTCATATTAAAGATTTTGAAGAGGTATTACTATATCATTTTCCTCTCACCCAAGCTATTTTTATAATAGTTGAAACATTCTATGGTGAATATTTTAATCAATAGAAACTTTTTTCATTATTGTATTCAATAAATTTGAATATATATACAGTATATATAAATTTATATATATATATATATACAGTATAAAGAGAATATATTAGTCACTGTAATCAATAACGTGGTATGTTTTTTTAACTATTAAAATCTATTGTAATTGAACAATTAACAATGAAAAAGAAGTTATTTTTATGATTATTTATTAAGATAAGTATTAGTTGAACAAAGGCAAAGTGTTCAAAATAATTTGAATATTAATTTTTATTAATGAAAACCTTTACAATATACAATTGCAAAATGTTTTGATTAACAAAAGTGAGTGAACTTGTTTTTGGTCTGAAATATTAATTCTATCAAATATTATTCATTCAAGCATTTTCGAAAGAAATGTAACTGAAATAAATGTGAGTTATTGTTGGTATGATGTAAAAGTAATTTTTTTAAAGTTTATCCATTCTTAATTGTTATTTATTACAACTCTTTTGATGTACAGAATAGAGACGTTTTATGCATTCTTTATCTATGACCCTAAAGTTATAAGACAATAGACTGTAAGTCCAATCGGCAAAACTTTATTATTATTTATTATTAAATACTGCACTTTACTACACAATACGAAATATGTAAATTAATTCAGCACCTTAAGGAGCAGCTATGAATTGTTTATGTTTGAATTATTGAAATGAAAGTGATAAATATCAATGCTTTATTATACATGAGTTAATATTGTATACAGTATGTATTAAATGCAGAAATTTATTTGATATCTTAACAGTTTATTGCCATGATTGAATAGCTTTCCTATAAGATAAACATAACAATTAAAATGTCTCATTTTATTAGGGTTTCTTATGGATTTAGACACAAATTTCTCATGAAAAAATAAACTAGTATAATTGCTATACTCTATTGAATATATCATCAGTGAGTGTTCCCGTCGTAATGATTTTTAATTATTTAAATACGTATATTAACGATTTGTAGTGTTTTTCGTTGGCTTTTTATATCATTATATTAAAATTCCTCGGCAAAACTCTTTGTTTTGTTAACCGCTTCATTAAGTAATTCCATTATTAAAACATGAAAAAGTAAAGAGAGAAAGAGTGAGAGAGAATGACCGCTTAGGAAAAAGAAAAAGATTTAAAATATTAAAGTATTAGTTTTTGTGTTTGTTTGATACTATTTCCATGAAATAGTTAAATAAAATATTCTTGCTAACAAGACTATAGATGTAACGTACATTAATAACTATAAAAATAGACTCCAGGTTATTCAGTATATTTTAAAAAGAAATAATGAGGATAACTTCATATGGTATTTCTTCAAAAACTGTTGTGTATAACAATGTTTATTAGTACAATTTCGAATGATAACTATCAGTGAAGCTGCGAATGATATAGATTCCTTCAAAGGCTTATACCTGTTCCATTTTTTTCAAGCATTCACACGATTCATATTGGAGAAAGAGTTAAATATCTACAAACAAATGTAAAATTATTATACAGAAGAATAGTTGATACTTTAACACGTACTCTTAAAGCAAAATACTCTAAAAATTCGACAAGAGTTATAACCGACGCTCCGAGCAACAATCCCATAAAGCCACCAATTTCCGAGATAAAAGATAAAAATTCAAACTTTTTGTGTTGAGTTATTCTCTGAAAGGCCATTTCTTTATAAAAGATATCAACTTGTAAAAAGTTCCTTCTGTTCAATAATGATGATGAAATCTTGTCTTCGAAAAAACTCGTATATACTTACAAAAAGAAGTCTTCATCAACGTTTGATATCTTTTCAAATGATATCAATTGTTCTTCAACTTTATAAAATTTAGAATTTATGCCACTTATCTTACCTTTTAAGGATATTGTCACATTTATAACAAGATCATTTAAAAGGCTCCCAATTTCATTGAAACATAATGATAATTGTCTTAGTGTCAAAATCGAATCAGCATTACATTTAAGGGTTTTAAAATGAGAATTTTTAAAGAAAAGTATAAACTTGTAAAATTTCATATTAACTGGTAGAGGCTCTACAAAGTTCTTCCATGATGGAGAAACTAAAACTTTAAATTGGGACAAAATATCAATAAAAAAATTTTTAAATTCAGTTTGGTAATCTTGAATAAGATTCAAAGTGTTTTTCACAGAGTTTATTTTATCTGGTATCTCCTCATTAATCATAATTGAACTAAGTTCTTTCTTTGTAATAGGTTCACTTATTCGTCGTTTTAATAGAAAGGCTTTCATTTTTAAATTGAATTTCTTTATTTGTGATAAACTTTTCAGTATGCTACTCCAAGAATTCTTGTAAATTTGTACCCTTCTCTTAAAGACATTTATGCGATTATATATTGAATGTATAGACTTTAAATAGTTTTCTAGATGATTTTTTGAAATGTAAAGTAAATTTAATAGGCATTTGTCGTACAAGCCGACAGTTTTCAGTGTTTTCTTTACTTTTCTTACAAAAGATATGAAGCCCAATATTCCTTTGATATGAGTATCAGTCGTTTCATTAGACTTTAACAAATTCAATGAACTTTCTAATATGTTGGAATAATGCAATAATCCATTTAGTTCAGTCCAGCATCCTCCCAGATATGATTTTAAAATATCTTGATTAAAAGAGTCATCAAACATCATCGACAGTGAATCGTTGTAGGAGGAAATCTTATCTACTAATAGATAGGATGTTTGTAATATATTGTCTCTCCTTCCGTAAGTATATTTAACACCATATCTCAAGGAGAAAAGCAGCTGCTTCTTACTTAACTTCATACAGCTTAAAATATCCTCAGTAGCATTATAGGGTTCGTACATGCAGCTACCTAAAATGGATGATATACTTTTATGGTATATTTTGATAAAGAATTGATTCTCAATGTAGACTACTTCCTTAAGTATTTTAGAAAAATTTGACTGTAGATAATTAAACTCTTGAGATAGAAAAGCTCTAAAGAAAATTTCAGTTTGAATTTCTACATGCGTTAGGTCATGTTCGAATGTTTCAACATATTGCGTAAAGATTGCATCTGCCGAAGTAGAATTTTCTCTTTCGAAAAGATATATTAATGTTTCGAAATTGTAAAGAAACGTTGCAAATTCATCTAAAAATGGATTAAAATATTGAATATTTTTCTCTCTTCTTGTTTCGTCTAACGTTTCTGCATTTTCAAGAGCTGTTCTCAATTCTTCGCCAATTGTTTCCCTTATTTTCTGATGATTTAACAGTATTCTATGAGCGCTGAACTTGGACATTTTTGAGGAGGATAAGGATGGTTCGTAGGTGACTTGGAAACACGGTACGAAACAATCACATTTTAGCTCCTTATAAGTCAATCTCATAATTTCGTCTTCGAAACAAAGAAAATGTTTACCAAATGAACAAGTTGATAGATTCGTTATAAATTCAGTATTTTGTGTACTGTATTTATGGTAAATAGCCATGGAAGATAAGCAATTGCATTTCTTCGTAGCGGCAACAACTTTACAATAGTCTACGCATTCCGCGTGAGAAGTGTATGTGGAATCTGTACAATGACCGTATGGAGAGCTTAAACTAAAAGACTCTTTTCTTTTTACACTCATCATTGTATACATTCCAGGTGCCAGGGCATACCCTAAATCGGAAACAAGAGGTTTAGCATGATTATTGTGTAGATATATTTTCACTCCTGCTTCGTTATCAAGTCCAGGTATATATTCGTATTCTTCAATATTCAAGATTAGGGATAAGGCATTCGCTCTTCCTGAATTTTTAATTGTAATGGATCTATTATTGAATGTGTAGCATATTCCTAAATCCGTTTTTGATTTAAAGAAGTCATTGAAGCAATCCTTTCCAGCCCATTTACAGGAATAAATAAGATTCCTTTGGTCGTGTCCTGCTCTATAATTGAGGAACCTCAATTCATGGAATGATAGATTTCTTGTTAAATGTTCCATTATTTCGGTATTGTTTCGTTCAACAGAATCGTAGAAGTTTTTAATGAAAGAAAATAAACCAAGTTTAGCTATTTGCGTTAATCTGCGCAAAATATGATAATTTAAATATTAATTTATATTAGAAGAATATGCAACACACCTAAATCTATTCTGATTACAAATTGTCACCGATGGAAACTCCATTTGTTCTGAATGTAAGATTTCAAAATTTATTGATGATTCTTTACGACTGAAGGCAATTCCTCTAACGATAACTTGAAAGAAGAACAATCCACATACAGTTAGAATCATTAGCGTCCAAAAGAGTCTTCTCTTGAGTGAATATTTTGATTGAAAAATGTTTTTTATTCCATGAAAAGTTGTGTCATTGGTGAATTCTGACCATGGCTTGTTATTTATCCCTTGATGACCTATTTTTGAAGATACCAAATTTGCGTTGCTACTGGACTTTTTGTCAAACATACCTAGAGAGTTAAACTAGCAGCAAAGCCTACACCGTAGAATGACAATAATATTTCTATATCTTAAAATATGCATTTGGAAGTTTTGGTTCATGGATTCTACAAATTCTGCCCTTTGTATATTTCACAGTTAACAGCAACTTTAAAGTTTTTGCTATAAGCTGCTAATAACAATCTGTGTATTTACAATAAATAATAAGTCTATCTCTCTCCGTATAGGTCTCATTCTCTGACATCTTCTTCACAGTAGAGTAACTAACGCCATCTATCGGGAAATGAAATAGAATTCTGTTGTAGAAAGAAAACTTTTAAAAGTCATAGTCAAGGTTATTATAAAAGAGAAAAAGGACAATAAATGTAATATGATCCAGATGAAGAGAAAACTAAAAATTGGACAATTCAGTAAGAAAACAGTGAAAGAATACTTTTTTTTATCTATTTTCTCCACGGAAAATATCTTAAATAATTCGAAATCCAATTTAATAATAGTTAATAATATTTAAATGATTTCTTAGGGTTATTCATAGCTTTTATAAAGTTTTATTAGTAATAAAAGCTTTCTTAAGAATGGTGATAATTAATTTTTATCTAATCTTGTTCTAGTTTATAGTAATTTCGATTGTCAATTCATTCTCATTAGGGATAGAAGAGAGCTATTGATGATGAATAACTAAATTGCTTATGGCGTACTATTTTGAAAGGAGTGTTTTATTAAGGTGACGTTTTGTTAGTCTTGTTCATTTGTTTACTTTTTTTGTTATATGCATTTTATGTCGCATCCTGTTTTAGTTGAGTCAGCCATGTATAAATGTTTTAATGCTCTCTCTTTATGTTCATTTTTGAAGTAGATTCTTTACAATTTTCTAAATACAGTAATAAAAGTTCTGATAAATCTTTAAACTAACTATACTCACAGACTTAAAAACTGCACTTTAACCGTAAAGTTCGCTTTAAATTCTATGATTCAATACTTTTTACATCAATCAAAGTATGCATTCCAGATGCAATAGCAAGACCTGAATCCAACATTAAACGTCTTGTGTAATCATTGTATAAAAACATCTTGACTCCAGCATCATTATCAGGACCAGGCATGTACGTATATTATTACAGATTTAAAACCAAGCATAAAACGTTATTCATATCCATTCCTCATTGTTACTCAACAATATCATATTGTCATTAAGAATATGGTTGACTGTCCTGAAGTTAAATTCTTTGTCTTAGCTTGTACAATTAAAGAACAATAGCGAAATTTCTTCATAAAATGTAATGAATCGAATATTCCCAGTATAATATACGTTGTTTATACATTCTACAATCCATACTAACTGTTTAATGTTTTGTTTACCAGCGCAAAAGTAAGAACACCCTCAAGCTTCATTTGTATAGAATTACAATATCGCCGTGATTCTAAAGGAAAACAACGGAAGTAAACTTTACTACTTTAGGGAATCAATCGTATTTATTTACGGTAATTTCTTTTAATTTGTTAATATCTTCGAGACATTCGGTCGTTCTTACTTAGTGTTTCTACATAATTTATCAACAAAAACTTTCTTACTGTCCTTTAAAATGATCTACTTCCGGTGCATTTGAACTGTCTTATTAATAAGGAATAAGATTTTATCGATTCACTTATTTTACACATAGAAAAGACGAATAGAAAAAGTAAACTTTAAATTGTTTTAGTTACATATTTCTGTTACTAGAAAATAAAAATTGTTATGCCGACAGCGACGTCTACTTTCTTCCCAGCTAGTTAGTCACTTTATTGTTACTTAAAAAAATAAATTTAAAGTAGACGTCACTCTATTTCTTTTTTCTTTATAGGTTAAAGCTTTTTAGCCAAAATGGAAAGTTGATTAAATGCAATCTTCCAGTAGACAGCCTTAAAGTTACTATCTAGCTTTCAGAATGCCAAAATAGTGTTGCAGGCCTAGCAGAGAGGAATGCCTGTATAAATATACCCCCATGATCGGAATAAATAGTACATTGTGCATTTCTTCAGCTTTTGCATATGTAATACAAGTACAGTATATTTAAGGTATTAAATGCATGTAGAAGTAATTCAAAAATTAATTTACCCTAATTTCTACCTCTTTCCCCCTTTAAAGAGTTTTATTAATTACCTTCATTGAGTGATAATCCCATAATTCTCTTTTTTCACATCAACCGGTATTTTGTATTCCCGTCATAGCTTTCTGAGTCATCACGAACTTTTATTTATTTCTTATAATTTGTAATAGTAATATTGAATTATTGAATAATCAAACGTTTTAAAAATTACATAATTAATGTTATAAACGCTGCATATAGAACAGACTTGCTAGTTTCCTTTTTGCTTTTATTTGATTATCATATAAATTTATTTCTTCTCTTCAATTGAAGATTTTTTATTTTCCGCTTTTAATGAAATTCGTTAATTAATTTATTTAAGGAGAAAACTTGAACAGCCATTTTAAACAGAGAGCTATCCAAGTAAACATGTTTACAAAAATATTCTAAATATAGAACTCTTTTACTTGAAATATTTACACGTAATATATATTTTATATAAATGTTAGCTATAAATTAAGGCATCATTTAGAGATAACCTAAAATACAACGTTGTTATAAATTGATTAATTGTTTTTAAAACATGTTTTGCTATCAATCTATCATCTTTCAAGTAAGCACTAGATTAGTTAGTGAAAATTGACTGTGATTTCATTAATCAAGTGTGTATTCAATAGATTCTAAATTTGATACAATTATAACAAAATATATAGATTTATACAAAAAAGTATAAGGTTAACATATAATAGAGTTTTGTGAGCAACAAAATTAGAAGATAACACTTCAAATACTAAAACTAAAGAATAGACTTTACATAATCTGTTTACTTGTCTTTGTTTTACCTTAAACAATGACAAATACTTTATAGCTTTTAAAATACAAATATTATTATATTAGTATATTTAACTGCTTTCATACCATATATAAAGGTGTTTTATTCTTTAAAATTAGTTAAACTTTTTAGACTTGCCACAGAGTTTGATCCTTCGCTATGAAACAACTTCATTATTGCCTATAGGTGAGAGAAAATTAACATTAGAAGTATACAGATATAATGTATATAGTATATGTAGCTATTGTCTGTTTCACGAGAGAGTGTTTCGTAAAAGAGACATCTTATAAAGGGTCTTTTTTATTGGATTGACTAATTCACATCGGATCATCTAATAAGAAATATTCTCTAGGACACATTGATTTATATGAACTGCTTTTGTTGGAAATCTAATCCATAACTGTTGAGAATATAAATAATATTCTCTTGTTTTTTAGCATTTCCTTGCAAACCACACATGTTGAATAAATAAAGATGGAGCTATTTAATTTCTTACACTACTCGAAAACGCCAAAATTTTCGTGCAGCTTGAACGTGATAACCACAACTAAAAACGGTTTAAATGCTGACTATTATGGACGGCATATTTTAAAGAAAAACTATTTCATCTGAAACATCTAATTTCACCTGATAAATAATTAATCGTTTCTGAATGAAGATAAGAGCATATCGGTTATTGCTAATTTTCAAAAAGAGTACTCATAAATTGTCCTTTCCTATAAAGTAGTTTTCTATGAAATGATATGAAAAACAGTCAATCCTGTAAATCCCTTACTATTTTTCAAGATGGTCCAGACGTATGTTTAAGTATTACTAACCCTAACAACAAAGTATTCAAGCAATTCTATAATAGTAAGGACTGAAGCTCCTAGCAACAAGCCCATAAATCCACCAATTTCAGAAATTAAAGATAGGAATTCGAATTTTTCCAGTTGTTGAATCTTTTGATAACTTAGTTCTTTATAATAGATGTCGACTTTAGCAAAATTTCGGCTGTTTTAAAGAATAATAATAATTATTTATTAAATGGAAGACTGACTTTTTTAAATGAGAATGTTCAAAACTTACAAAAAGAAATCTCCATCAACTTTCAATAATTTTCTGTAAGCATAAATTTCATCTTTTAAATTTTCTGCACTTTTATCCATATTATAGCCATATTTTGAAACTTCACGAAGGGCATTTTGCCATTCTTTCTGATATATAGTTGAAATAACATCAACGCACCCTTCGTAATTGTTTAAAGTCCATGTTATATTGATACAATTCAATTTATTCAATTTATCATTCTCATATTGAAGAGTATAGTTTGGAAATAATAAGGATAGAGGAGACGTTTTATTACCTTCGCGATTCACGATAGGAAAAGGCCAAGTTACTAACTCGTTAAGTTTACGTTCAATATGTCTTAGAGATGAAACTGTTGTTTTAAAAGAGGCTTCAAAGTTCGTTGATAAAGTTGATACATATTGGTCAGCTAAGGCAATTTCATTCAAATCTCTATCCATTGTTGTTGATGATAGTTTCTCATATATCGATTCTTTAGTTAAATTGGCAGAATAATTATCTAATTTCAAATATTCCGTCATCATCGTATTCAATTCATTTATTCTCTCAACTTTTTTTTTCGTATTATTGATATATTTTTCAACCTCGCGATTATAAACTTTATATTCTCCATATGCTTTCTCAAAACCAATTATCATACCTTTCATGCCAAGCTTTTCCTCCCAAAAGTCATCATCGGCGAAGAAAAAGCATAAATCCTCCAAAGGTTCTACAAACTGGGGTATTTTTTTCAGACCTTCATACAAGTTTACTACTTCTTCTTTTTTCTGTGCCAAACTGACGTTTGCCCCAAGAACACTTATTGAGCTGGCTACTTTATTCCTTACAACTGTAATACGATTTAAAACTGGTAGACATTTCTTATTAATGCCTCTCATCGAATCATCCGTTAAATTTTTGCCAAATATCTTCATAATCTCTTCTTTAAAAGGAACTTCAATATCCAATATTCCACTAAGAGATTTTAGAAAATCGTCGCCTATGAATAAATCCCAATATTTCTTTCGAGGAGAACCCGGACCTTGTGGGCCTTTTGGTCCTAATTTATTAAAATTACTTTTAATATCATCGCAGTTCCACAAAGCGTTCGAATTGTTTCCATTCCTAATAAAACATGTTTCAATATCTTTTAGAGCTTGCAGACTTTTGTCATCTTTAGATACATAAAAGACATCAGGGATATTCTTTTCTAAATCTTTTTCAACTGGCTCAAGATCGTCTTCGAGGCTACTCATTTTGTTTGTAGAGGAGAAGCGGTAGGCTTTTTGAATATTCATCATCGTTATACTTAAATCTTCTTTAACTATTTCCCATAACTCCATCATATTTGGAATAACGGCCGCTTTATAATTACTAGTGTCAGTTAATAAAGTATTAAGCGTGTCTATAGCTGCTAAAAATTGATCTGTTGCAGTTGAAAATGAACTCATAAACAAACGATTATTTGCTCTTTTTTCCTCTACAAATATTTCTCCCGTTTCTAATGCTTCCTTTAAAGACTTTTTAAGTTTCTGCAAAGTGTCCGTATCGCCAAGAGTAACTTTATCAGCACTTAGCTGGGAAATCTTTGAATAAGAGAGAGAAGGCTCATAAACAATTTGGGCACAAGGGACCAGACAAGAGCACAGATTCTTATTCTTTTTCACTTTTGCCAATTCTCTTGTCACACATATTAAATTTTCTTTTATTTTACAAATTCCTGTGGTATTGCTTACAGTTAAAATTGACGAAGCCTCATAGGGTATACACTTACACCTTTCACTTACAACTCTCATTCTACAATGATCAACACATTCTGCATGAGATTTGAAATTAGAATGTATACAATTTCCGTAAGGTGCGTCTAAACTGTAAGATTCAATTCTTCTTACACCCACGAGAGTATGGGTACCAGATGCTACAGCAAAACCCAAATCCGTCATTAGAGGTCTGGTGTAATCATTGTGTAAAAAGATTTTTACTCCAGCATCATTATCCGGACCATTCATATACTCGTATTGTTCAATATTTAAAACTATCGACAGAGCATTAGCCGTTCCTGATTCGCTTACTGTTAGTAGCTCACTCTGATTTTTGGACCTTATAGAATTAAAGGTATAACAAATTCCATATTCAGTTATAGTTTCGATAATTTGGTCGCTAGTACAATTTCGCCCGGCCCATTCACATGAATAAATCAGATCAGATTTTTGATGGCCAGCTGTTTTAAAAATTGTTTTGGTATCAATGGAGAATCCTCTCGGAATCATTAACGACGATTTCTTGCGATTTTGCAAAGTATAAAAATTTTGTATAAATTTATAGAGGCCCATATGTGAAGTTTTTGTTATCCTGAAGGTAAAAAAATGAGAAAATTAATAAGTTAATTATTACTAATGTTCAATCGCGTAAATTGCTCTAAGTATTTTTTTTTCTATACGGTTTTTTGTTTATTCTCAACATCCCTTCATACATTATTAACGAGATAATAAAGAATGCTTTTTTCTATGCCGACTAAGTACATATTTATCCGTAAGGGTCGGCATTTTTTTTTTGAATATGTAATAGTATGTAATATTACAAAACAGTCATAAAAAGTTATAGACCCTTTTTGAAAGAAAATCTACTTTTAATGATCTTAGTTAAAAGGTAATAATTAGTGATTATAGAATAATGAAATTTCTATGGAAAATAAGGCAAATGGATAATAAAATGTAAAAGAACAACGGAAGCTATACATACTTGAATTTGTTTTGGTTACATACTGTAACAGTTGGATAGTTGAGTTTCCCTGCATAGATAACTTCAACATCGACGGTTGTTTCTTTCGCATTGAAATCAATTGATCTGCTTATGACTTGATACAGAAAGAAAGCCAAAGCCGTTAGAACGAAACATGCCCAAATTATGCGTCGAATTATTGAATGATCTCTATCGAATATATTACTGACGCCGTGAAAAGTTGTAGAATCCATATATTCCCTCCAAGTTTTACCTCTAATTATTCTGGGGGTTGGCCAAGCATGAGAAGGTTTCACTTTTGTCGTAATCATATTTCCTTTCTTTTCGATAAATTAAGAACTAAAAGAGAAGAAAGTTAGGAGAGAGTTAAGTTTATCAGGATGAACGGCTACACAATAAATGCATTAGTTTCTGTAAATATTACAGGGTTTATAATGCTTCTTTTTCATTAATTATGTACACAGGCGAGCGTGTGTTTTGAAAAAGACTGCAAAAAAAAAAAAAGAAAAGCAATTTATTTCATAAATGTTTTATTACAAAATTACTGTAGATTATAGAATGATAGCGATAAAATTGTTTGTTGCCTAATCGTGACACAGCAACATAAATATGATCTAAACAACGTCATTAAATGTATATATAGTAGTTTTTTTTATTTCCTTATAATTTGTAATATATTGCCTTATAATTTCATAATTAAGTCAGCGTTCTATTTGTCAATCTCGCTATAACTTTTATGATTTTCTTTATACATGGACAGAGAAAGGGGAATGGGATATGCACTACAGATGGCGTTGTATGAGCATTTTTTTTATACTTTAGAAGATGAAAATAGGGGAGGAGAAAGGGGCGGAGAGGGCGTGGAGGGTAAGAGCAACTTTTTCTTATATGCTCTAAGAGAAAATCTGAAAAACTCTCAAATTTCATACAGTAACATTAACCTTAAAGAATTTAGGAAGAAAAAGGAAGAAATAGAAAAAAGAGAAAGTTATTATATTGCTGATAATTCAATTATTCTCTATAATTTTCCTTAGCTGTAAAAGATTGTATAAGGTTGCAAAAAGCCTCCAGCTGCCATGTATTGAATATTAAATATAATAATTCCATTTCTAGGTCAAACTTTGTTTTTTCCTATTTTGCTTTCTCCCGAGTGCAATAGAGTGTAACGGTTGATGTAAATATTATAGAAAAACTATTTGTATAAGAGTTTTTCTATGTTTATGGAGGAGATTTAAACGGTAAAAAATTGAATTTTTCCCTCAAAAAGTTTCGTTTTGTTGGTAGGAGAAATAATATCTTTGAAGTGCCAAATTTCTTCTATGTTATTATTCTTTCTTTTATTCAACTGTATCAATGATGTATGTGCTAGTTGGCAATTAACTGACTTGCATAATTTAGCGGTAAGGTATACTGGTAAATTAACGAAGTGGAAGGAATGTATCAGGTGGAAAGATGAAATATGAAAGAATTTCTATAAAAGCAATATATTATATATCACCTTGTAAAAATGTGAATAAATTTAATAACACGGTTGAATACAGATGGCAGTATCAGGTTTTCATGGGAACATACTTTGACCTTTGAAAAACGAGAGTTTTCGACATATAAGGTCTATTAGCTTTAAAATTTGCCATGGAAAATTTTCTTTTCACGTGACCAGGTGGCTTGCGGTTTTCATGTTTTTGATATCAAAGACATACGCTTCATGATGCAGTTGTTCCGCATGAAATTCTACGGGGCAAATGATCCGTAAGGCATTAATATAGTAAATTCGCAAAGATTTGATAAATTATTGCTGTACCAGTAATAGCAGAAAGTAAATGTAATTAGGCTAAAAGCTTTGAAAGATTGGTCGGCATAGTGCACGGAAATTCTTTGAAAGATGGCGCTAGACGCTTTCGAATCGGATTATTCAACCAAACTTTCTCCTCTTAGAATCCCAGACAGTTTATTGCGTGTTATTTTTATTCAACTTCAAAGTTAACAAAACAATTACGTCCCTTTTAGGCAGGTAAATTAAGGCAATAAGCCTGAGTCGGTCGTTTGCTAATGTACACACAATCGACTGACTTCGTCAAAGAAAAAAAAGATTCTCGGTCGAATAACCTTCGATTTTTTCCTTTTTTCCAAAATATTTTCTATGCTTTGCTTTCCTTTCTCTGGGGTTTTTTTTTGAATACATATATATATATATATTTATATATATATATATATATACAGATATATACAGTTTGATATAATAAAAAAAAAGAAAACACAAAATACTAATGGAAAAAAACGATGAGTAAATAAATTAGTATACGTAGACACCTAGATAAAAACATCAGAAATATAAAAGGCGGTGCCAAAGGGAGCTGTCAATCTAAAATTTCTTTAGCGAATAAGCGCCATGCAAGCGAACGTTTCGTACGCAGCCGAAACTTTGCGGCGGTCAAATATGGCGCCGACGAGCGACGGTCCGGATCTGAGCGGGACGTCAGGTAAGTTATCGTAATAAAATTAAGAAAGGGGAGGGAGAGAAATTAGATGTAGGCGTCGAAATGTTAAGGCAAGCGTCCTCTTACATTCTATAGGCTTTTCGAGTGGTGTACGCTTCGTTGCGAGCCGAGCACTCGTAAGTGTTGTATGCAAAATGAATGTTGTGCGTGCAAAGTGCATGAAATTCGAACGTACTTTCATTTCAATAGCTAACCTCTTAAAAACGTTCGATATAATTTTCATGTTGCTATATTACATATCGCCCAGCAACGCTTTCACCATTTCTATCTGCATATTTTCATCATTTTTTATAATCAATAATGCCATCTAGCTACCTTCTTTTGTTCTTTTTGTTCTAGTCATTATGTATTTCAAAGTGCCTAGTTATACTTTCGTATTTATTATATATTTGAATATTAGTAAACACCTTAGGCCTAATTAACTGTATAACTACTGTATTGAATTAAATCATCCTAAACTATTTAGCCTAAGTAGGCGTTAAACGGTTCGTCGTTTGAAACGCATTTATAAGTCATTTGCATATATTGTATTGTACAAATAAGGGGCATGTGCATATGCGTAAATATTGAATGGCGTGTAAATAGAGGAAATTTGTGTTAGATGTAAATGTTTGATGGGCTTCGGACGCAATATGCATTATTTTTCAACCGTTTTCTATTGCTATATATAATATGTAAGCCTATACAAATATAAATGTGTTTCGTTGTTATAAAAAAGGAATATAACTGCGTGTCTGGCGCCGTTCTGTAACAAAAGACGTAATATATGTTATGGAAAGGAATATATTGGCAACAGAGTGAGAGGCGAATTGATATGCATTGTTTGTTGCAGTTGTTTATCCTGCATTCGTTAACGAGCTGTTGTTTTCTTATCTACATCCCTAATTTCCGCTTCATCATTATTCATTCAGTCATTATTTCTTTGAATCAATTTGATATATTCGTTTTTTTTCCTATCGTGTTTATTCGTTCCTGATTTTTTCGTCCGCTACTTTTTCTTCTTCTCTCTCTCTATCTTTTAGTTTCTTGTCGGTAGCTGATCAACGTATACTTGCCAACCTACTCTCGCGTAGGTTAACTATTTTGTTAGGGGCATTCGTAAGTAGGTGTTATATTTATCTGTGCACTGAAATATCAAACGTCAATACAGCAATGAATTGTTCGATTTGCACGGGATGCGGAAACCGTATCAAGGAGCAATACTTACTAAGAGTCCACCCAAATATGGTATGGCATGTCACCTGTCTTAAGTGCCAAGAATGTGGAGAAAGTTTGGACGAAGATTGTACTTGTTTTGTAAGGGACGGTAAACCTTTCTGTAAGGAAGATTATGCCCGACTTTACGGAACCAAGTGCTCCAAGTGTGGAATTTTGGCCCGAAGGACCGACTTGGTCATGCGAATCAAATCTAACGTTTATCATACAGACTGCTTCCGTTGCGCAGTTTGTGACAGAACACTCGTCGCTGGCGACGAATATATTATCAAAAATGTAGAAGAAGGTCCGTTGTGTAAGGCTCACTACCAATCCAGTACGAATAATGTTGCAGGTGAGTTTGCACATCTGTCGATTCGATTCGACGTTACTTTTTACAAGGTTTTGCGTTTAGCGAGTAAATTGGTTTTTTTTTTGTTAAAAATTGGGGTTGAACGGAAGGAGGGTAACAAGGGTAATAAGTCAAAGAAGGGTTGAGAGGGGGGAGGAGAAACAGGAGGACGGGAATGGGGAAAAAATAAATGGGACGGTTCAGTCGGCTTTTTTCCTCTAAACCAAGGGAGGACGGTAAAACGTCAAACAGAGGCGGCTGCTAGATCTCTGCGGGCGCCATTAGTGGCATAATGCCTTAGTGCGACAGTGGGCCCCCCTAAAAAATAACGCCCCCCGCTGACGAATGTTGCCTGCCGCAGGTGGCCAGAATAAGGAGAAGAGGGATCACAAGACCACTCGAATTCGCACCGTACTTACAGAAAAACAACTTCATACATTACGCGCCTGCTATGCGGCAAATCCCCGTCCGGATGCGCTAATGAAAGAGCAGATGGTCGAGATGACTGGACTCGCTCCTAAGGTCATACGCGTCTGGTTTCAAAATAAACGCTGTAAAGACAAGAAGAGAAATATATTGTTAAAGCAGATGCACGATAACGAAATGGATGGTGACGGCCGACACGGCAAAATTGTAAGTTAATTCAATAAACTGATATACTTAGACAGAAATCAAAAATAATTAATAACAAGAGTTAAGATAAGAAAAGAAACGTTTTACAGTATACATATTGAAGTCGACAAAGTGTAAAAAATGTCTAAATGCTCTTAAGCAGCCCATGGGAATCCCAATGACGGCGTCGAGTCCGGTGATGCACGAGACAACAGCCAATGCTCAAACAATTCAAAGTCTCTCGCAAATATCCTCATGGAGGGCCTTAAACGACTTTGCTGCCGAGGAAAATATATTCCATCAACTGGTAAGCTATAAATAAACTTATAATGCATGCGGATCGTGAATATGAAGCGACTAAACGATTATTAGGAAATCTACTATATGGTATAATGGATACCAGTTCGTGAGAGCATTGCAGCGTTGCAGATCCGGCGTATCATTTACGCAATGTCGCGCAATTCTAAACATTATACACACGTAAACTATATGACGGGCGTGGGAAACTGACTATCACTTTGCACATGCTTTAAAGCGGGGAGGGGGGCCCCGTTGTTTGTCTATGTATATAATATATATGGAATATATAAACGTTGTTTGTTTATACAGACGAACACGTTCGATTCGACGGACGACTTATCACCGTCTTCCTCAGAACTTATCGATTCAGAATCCGATGCTTCATCAGCCGTAGGCGTTCATCTATGAAATCGCCCAAGAAGAATGTGGGAAAGACGAGAGACGAAGAATGAGTAGGAGGAGGAGAAGTGGGAGAAAGATGACGAGGGAGCTCTTTCGTGCAATATGGCGTCACTTTTCGATCGTTTTATTTCACTGCTGGGCGACAACTTTCATCAGACGTCATCGGAAAAGACTACCATTTCCTTTTCAATGCCCAAGCGATAAACGTTTTTGAACAATAGCTGAACGAGTACATTTAATTATCTTAATGTTCGGTTGATGTTGTTTAATTATTGGCTGTTACATAATAATATTTACAACGAGAAGAAGGATGACAATTGTATGCTTGATTTATTTACTTATTTATCGCGACCGGATCTCGCGTCAAGAACGCCAAAAGCCCTCCTACTCTTGCCCCCTCCTCTTTCTTAATTATATGGTAGGAGGCTGAAGATAATAATACACCACTGCCACGCGTCTACGCTAGAGAATTCGACAAAAAGCGTTAAGCCCCTTTTAGTTCTAATTTCATCAGAGCAGCTACCAAAATCCAATAATTTTCAACGAAATACTTCCAGCTTATTTTCTCTTTTTCTCACTTTCATGTATTGTATATAGTACATATATCTTTGATATATCTCTATGCGTATTCATATGAACAAATTACAGAAATTTTTTCTACATATACTCTGGCTATCACTTTCGTTCTCGCCCTTTAGCCCAACACTCCTCTAACCGCTCTTTATCCTTATCGCGGGTTAAGTTTACTTCTCTTCGATCTTTTCGCCTCAATATATTCATACTTCATTGAAATTCAACTTAGGTAAATAGTTTTTTTAAAAAAAAAGGCCTAACATTTTATAGTTAAATACTCGAGCCAATATTTGTATAGACTTTACTGCTTGTACAACTGTTTATGAACGTGCTATACGGGAGCATCAAAATAAGCTTCATTCACTAGTTGGGTAAATAAACGCGTACGTGTAAATGCATATAATGAAAAAAAATAACTCATCCTAGAAATGAATATATGAAGCGAGGGGAAAGAAGAAAAGAAAAAAGAGATGGAGAGGGATTGAGAAAAAAAAGAGTGAGAGAGTTAATAAAAAAGGAACTCGCTGTCTTTATTTTTCCATTTATCGTTATTACTTTTTTCTATTGGTATAATTATTTATATTCAGATTATGATGTTTTAATAATATTAATAGTAAAGAAAAGTAGTAAAAGTTGTACTCGAATATAATAAGACATAATTTTTTTAACCAACAAAGACTCCCTTGATTATGAAAAAAACATAAGTTTTTTCTGTTATTATTTATAAGAAAAGTAGCATAAAAAACAAAAAAGAATCGATAAATGGAATATTACTTTATCTTTCGTGTTATATTCAGAAGCGGAATAACAGACGGCGTTGACGTTCGACTGTATGACATTTTCAAGACTACTGACGAGATAGCAGAAACTTATCAATGTGCATTTAGACGTCATTACGAATGCGTCCGTTCGCCTTCATACATCATTTAGGTAAAGTCTGCGCGTCCGGTTTTCGTCTTCTTGTATATATCTCTATGTACATATTGTATATAGTTGTATATAATACCCGTGCACATGTATATACAATTTAGAAGGTTTATGCTTGGTATACAGTACACCCGCCCCCCTGCAGGTTGTCGAATTGCGTAATAAGGCCGGCGCTAAATCTGATAGATTAAACAATTCACTTGCTCCTTCCCCACTACACACGAAGATTTTCTCGATTCACACAACCGGACTTGCTCAATCTATTTCTTTCTTTTCTTTTCTTTTTTTAAGCCATAATACACCCTGTTTCGGCAGCCGGTCTGGTTCACTTGTTTAAAAGCGCCGCAAGCCATTACAACAGATGTAGCCTTAAGAGAGATGATCAGAGATATAAAAGTGCAGGCGATGGATCAGAGAGATTACAGATGCAGATAAAAGTGAGGCAAGGCGAAGGCGGGCAAGGCAAGGCAGATAGATGCATTAGCGCCTACGCCAAACTAGGTCAATCAACTAAGACGGTGCAGGTGGCTGCATATATACAACTAGACTATAAAGCGCCCGCCGTTTGTAACTTGCATCGGGCTACCACGCCCACTGACAGTGGACGCCAGCAGTGAGAGACGTCACTTTCAAGTGAAATGCGGCGTCTGTTGCTTTGTCATCTGCCACGCGACCTAATTAACGCCGCCAATCAATACTTGCTGCCCCGCAGGCGGCATCTTTTGAAGCTGTCTTCGACAAACGTGCACGCGCACATACAAACACGCTCGTCCCGACTGCAATACCCAGATCCCATCTTCTATCTCGTCTCATTCTCCAAGATCAATAGTATTCAATCTCTGACTGAAATGACGACGATCCTTTTCTTATTTCTTTTTCTTTCCGTCTTGCCAGGCGCGATGTCGGGTCGAGATAAAATTCTAAACACTGGCGCCAGGCCCCTGTATTACGTGAGTAGCTCAGGTGTGCCTCTATGCATACACGTTTGCCGTCCAGTGACATTCACTTTCCCCGTTAGCATCTAAAAAAAAAGCTAGTCTATACACCCTTGCCCCCCTTCTTTTCTCTCTCTCTCCCCCTCTCTCTCTCTCTCTCTATCTCTATCGGCACCTTCACGTACGGCGGCAGCCTAGGTGGCGCTAGTACTCAAGCCAAAGCGCCAGCGACGATAGGTTGCCTTAGGCCCCGCCTACTCTATACCGCGCAACGTATTTGTAACCGGATTGCAGTAGGGTGGATTCAAACTGCACATGCGAACGACGACAACAACGATGACGACACCACCGTGCGTCGGATGTGGATGTGCTATAACAGATCAGTACATTCTCAGGGTCGATCCGGATTTGGAATGGCATGCATCTTGTTTGAAATGTGCCGATTGTGGACAAATGTTGGACGAGAATTGCACGTGTTTTGTGCGAGACGGAAAGACGTACTGCAAATCGGATTACACTAGGTAGGCGATTAATTTATTAGTAGGAGTCCATTCTAAAGGACTTGCTTGGCGCGGGCTGTGAATAAAATTGAATAGGCTCCCCCCAATCCTATATAATAAACAGAGTCAATCATATCAAATAAAAAGGGTGACGCTTCGCGAATTTTACTGCTGAATGCAGGCTGATTGATTCGAACAATACTAGAATTGCTCAACCTTCATGTATATTTTAAGGGGCCTAAGTGCTGTCAACACGAGCCCATTAATTCATTACTGGTATAAAGTCACATATTGCATACCTGTATACTTTAGTTCAAAATTAAATGATGAAAATGGAAAAATGAAACCGAGAGGCGGATCGAAACTCTTTTGATCTACTGCAATATTAAAATCGCGTTCGTTCAAAGTGTTTGCTCAGCGACGCGCTTCGTCGGTATAGAACAACGAGTGACGACCTCGACGCCTTGTTTTATTCATACACCTAATACAAACGAAAAATTCTTTTTTTCTCTCTCTTTTTTCGCTTCCCTTCACAGAGTTATGCTGTATAGATATTGTAATAATATATTTACGATCGACCGTTGGGACGTTGTTACATAAAACGCAAACATCGGCATGAGTTGAGACGCGAGCGGCATCGCGTTATTAGCGCGTAATTTAAATGGCTTTATTACATAATAATTTGGAGTTGTGTCGGCCCGCTGAGCTATCGACTAGCTACAGTATATAATGCGGGTGAATATAGCAGAAGAATGAAGCTTTTGACAGTGTAAACAGCACTACTATATATATATACAAGTACAGACGCAGGCCGATTTATTTTTTGCAGGCGCACACTGCATATATATATATATATATATTTATCAATATATGTATATATATATATATATATTTATATATATAATATATAGATGTATGTACACGCTAATGTAATGGATTTTATGTAACTGCTATGTTAATAGAGTATATACAGATTATTCTCTGACTTTATATTCAAATCTGAAAGCTAGCGAGATTATAGTATATTTTAAAATATCATATCAGGGATGAGTCTTGAACAGTAAACTATGTAGAATATACACAATGTTCTTTATATTTGATATACGGAGTATACAGTATACAATATACCATAAACCATACATAGTATACAAAATGCCATATACTATACACAATTTATATACTATATATTCTTTACTATGCTACTTACGCATAACGTTTATCATAAATATTCATAGATAATGAATGCTGATATTCATAAAGATATACATCTATCTTTATTGGTGTAAAAAGTGCATACATGCGTGTCTATCTATGCATACATGTGTACATGCGCTTGCGTGAGAATACACATACACCATAACAATCTTTGTATATATATATATATATATATATATATATATATATATATATGGGCAATAAAACGGGAACATTCTACATATTCATTAACATAGTTTATATAAGCATATGTATATACAACTATTTAACCTGACTATATTTATAATATAGAATGCATACAGTGAAAAGAATGTCTGCACATTCGTCCAGAGTTAAACAAGCATAAGATTACGGCCCGATAAACGGCAGATAAACAAACATATTAGGCTCTGAGAAAAGAAGACAAAAGCCGGCCGCTTGGGCAAACAAATTTAGCGGCATCGTCATAAAAAAAGGAACTTTTATTCAATTGCGGTCTGTCGTAAAAATCGTATAAAAATTTTTGTGAAAATAGCATATAAAGAGATAGATAAGGTAAATTTGGCGCCGTACCGGCTCCTTGTTTAAATAGACGAAAAATGAAAGACCAACCTTGATGCTAAAGAGATTTTACTGACGTAACTCGAACGTTTATCGAGTGGACGAAGCGTTTACACATACGGCCCATGTAGGAAAGTTGAACGCAGATGGTAAAGTGCGCTACGCGACCCTTGACCCATTCTACGCACTATGTACGAAATCGGCGGCGTTTTGCGGTAGCCGGGTGTTACGCTCTATTTAACCGTCACAGGCTATTCGGGGCTCGATGCGCTAAATGTGCGATCTCGTTCAGCAAGAGCGACTTGGTAATGCGAGCAAGAGAATGCATTTATCATCTCGATTGTTTTCGATGTATGGCATGCAGTCGACAATTGGTTCCGGGTGACGAATTTGCTCTCCGCGATGATGGTCTCTACTGCAAAGCCGATTTTGAAGTGGTCGAAAGAGGAAACAACAATAATGATAGTGAAATAGTTATGGACAATGTCGACGAACAAGATGTTGACAGCGACAACTCGTCATCTACTGCCGTCGGCCAAAATTCTACGTCAAATAATTCGACCATCTCTTCCGCCAGATCCGGTAAGTCTTTTCTTCCTTCCTTATCTTCTCCCCTTCCGCGCCCTCCCTTTTTTCGCTTCCGACGGCGTGCAATGCACGCATGCATGCGCATGTTGTATATATTTGTTGAGTATAGCCTCTGGCTGCGCAGAACGAGCATCGAATTACAGGCAGTGCTTTCTTTCTATTCCTGAATTAGGCACAAGAAATGAGAGAGGTTCGAGGAAGTCAGACCATAAAACTACTAGGGTAAGGACAGTGCTAAATGAAAAACAACTGCATACTCTAAGGACCTGCTACGCGGCGAATCCTCGTCCGGACGCCCTTATGAAGGAGCAATTGGTGGAAATGACCGGCTTATCGCCCCGGGTCATCCGGGTGTGGTTTCAGAACAAACGCTGCAAGGATAAGAAGAAGAGTATACTTATGAAGCAGATGCACGAACAACAGCAGAAACAGGTAAGGTGGGCGAAAGAGCCAATGGGAATATGATGATCAAAGAAAAAGATAGCTTAAAAGAGTTTGAAATAAGATAGAAAAACCGCAAACGAGGAAGATAGTACCATTTAACTACGTTTAACTGTAAATAGGAGAACAGTGTATTGTACTTAAAAAAGAAGAGAAGAGAAATCTGTGCTGAAACGTCAGTTAATCGATGATATAGTGAGCGAGTCGAGAGTGACGAGCATCGATTGAGCGGTCGACGCGGCTCTTGAATAGCTGACATGCACAGAGAGAAACGAACGAGTAGAACCGAAGCGACGGCACCTGCACGCCACCCACAGTTTACTCAAGCGCTCATCAAACATTCACGTCAAACATGCTCCTTCCGTATATACGCGGTCGGAGACCGAAAATTTATATAAATACGTACATAAGCTTATACACATCATATACAGCATTCAGTTGATATTCATTGATGTATGGTATGCTTACATATCATAAAACATGATATTTAATATATTATTCTCTTTTGGTTGCATATATTCACATGTTACTATACGGATTTGTATGAGTATATATATGGTAAATATCTATACTTGTGCACTCCTGAGTAGCTGTACAGAATATTAGATATAAAAGTCTACTTTGAATTGGGAACTCTTAAAGGACATTGTGGCCACGCTTTATTAGACTCATGTATATATAGATATTTTTATACTCCCCGTTTCGAAAGCGTGCAGACCGCGACTTAATGCACCGACTGTTATGCGTCTCCCTAGGGCGTCCTTTCAAGCGCCGTGTCTGTTCGGCGTGTGTGGTGCGAAAAAAGCGATTAGAGAAAGTCCTAACGAGAATATAAGACCAAAAAGAAAACAAAACTAGAAACTCCTAATAAAAACAAAGCAAAATATATCAATAGAGAAAATTATAGTTTTATGGTATTATTTTTATAATCACAATCGTTTGATTGTACATAGTGGGACTGAAAAACGAAAAAGAATACGTAGAGCGACAAATAGATATCAGTAAATATCCCCGCGTCCAAATTGCCAAATAATCATATGATGTGTTGACAATTCTTTGTGCTGTCGCAAACAAACTGTCAAGCGAATGTTGACAGAGCAACCCGAAAGCTGTTCGTGCATTCGAGTACTATTCACTCCCTTTTACGTCACTGCAGGGTGTACCTATGGTAGCGTCTAGTCCCGTACGGCACGACAGTGTCGCCGCGCCAATTGAAGTTTATCAACAACCGGCTCCTTGGAAAACTCTTTCCGATTTCGCCTCTCATTCCTCCGACATTGATGGGAACGCTCCTTTTCAACAATTGGTAAGCACTCTTTTTTTTTTACTTTTTTCCCCTTTTTCAATTCTTTTTAGCTTAGGCCAATTTCATTCAGAATTCTCCCCCCGTCCTTTCCTTTATTCTGTCTTTCTTTATGCTTTCACAGTCTTTCTTTTACTAACTCTAGCTCTAGAATTAACGGTTCGAATAGCCGTAAATGCGCGCGGCGCCGACATCAAAGCCATACCGGGCATTATGGCGCATTATCCAACTACAACAACAATTAGTAGCCTTTGTAGACGGAGGATAATCTCGTCTTCTCTTTTTCTACGCAGATGACGACATTCGATGACGGTACAGTGAATTCTTGCCATCCGCCTTCTCACCTATACGGTCCAGTCGACGCTGTCGTCGATCAGGAAGGAGACTTATCTCACTGAAAGGAATTCGATGTACATATATGCTACGTGTTTGGATGATGTTATACCTGTACAAAAAGAAGCAACTCAATTTTAGAAGAAAAATTTAAGATCAGAAAGAAAAAGTGACAAATTTTATGAAATTTCATAACGAAACAATTACATAATTATTCGAAATTCAGTAAGCTGTACTACCGTATGTATTTGTGTCTGTCTATACAGAGTATATTTATATATAGGCTATATCCATATACATAAATCTGGTCGTTTTGCCGCGTCTATATTATAAGCTCATGCTTTTAAAAAATATGCGAGAGACATTCTACGGCAGCTCAGTAACCTAGACAACGGATTATCAGAGGCGGCTCGAACACTTAAAAGCCTCCCTTCCCTTCAAACTTCTTTCTTTCGCCCCCCTGTCTTTCATAAAATAACCACTCCCTATATACCTTCCTCTTTTTTTTTGACTTAGGCCTAAGCTCACGTCCGTCGATCTGATTACTTCCCTTTTGTTCACCGCATGCAGCCGGCCAGACGCCAAACGACTTTACTATCTAAGTGCATCAACGTAAAGAAGTAGTAAAGGACGGTGGCCGATGGCATAGCCCGTCTTCGGCAGGCAGGCGGTGACATAATGACAAGACCATGCATCAACAAGCATGTTAAGATGTTTGCTCAGCGAGCCAGTAAGGTGCCACCGGTGCTATACGTTTGTTGACAGACGGGCTTACGCTTACCGAAAGCGAACTGCCTCTCTACTAAAAGCTCTTTAGTAAATGCCGCAAAATTACTCGTTAAATCTGCGAGTAAACGGGGCGTATAAGGGGCATATTGTGTCCGGGGCATTGTGCTGAGGCGAAAGTGTGGGTGGGCCAAGTAGAAAAAATGGAAGAGGGGGACCAAAGCTGGCGGATTGAATGTCAGTATCAGAAATGTCGATAGGCGTCCCCTTAACGTTCTCCGCTTTCCCTCTCATTCTTTGCCCGTTTTTTACTTTCAATCTATCTCCATGTCGGGTTTTTTCTTTTTCAGATGAGCACGTTCTATAATGTTTGTCCGCCGCTACTCTCCGCACGCGTGTTAATGTACAAAGGCGGCGGCCAACAGGTAGCATTGCCTTCGTTAGTTGAATGTCTCGGAATTGTCTCTTTTTTCAACTCGAATCTTTTCTTCCGCTCACGATTATACTGACTCCCTCCTGATAAACGTAAAGACCCCTTTTATAATTCGATCACTGCCCGAGCGCTGTCTTTTCTAGGACGTCACGATCCGACTATTACGTAAAAACGTCGTTGGATTGCGCGCTGACGCCTTCTCGCATTTCGTCCGAAAAGGTGCGAACGAACATCGTCTCAATGGAAATCATACTCGCCTCGGACGACCGTATACAGACAAAGAGACGCGGGCAATTGAGTTAGCGTCTCCGCCATTTCCATATGAAAACCGCTTCATGGATCAGTCGCCTGCTAAATATTGAATTAGCGGCGTTGCGTGTTGTTTTGAGGGGTGCTGCGCGGGTGCAGGTGCGAGCTTATCGATTGGTCACGGTCAAAATCTGCAATATATTACAGTAAATATGCAAGGGAGCGTGGTGGCCGGTTTTTTTTCTCTGCTTCTCTTTTTTGATGCGATACGCTTCGTCGCACGAAACGACGGACTCTGCATGCAGCAGCACACACGCACACCATCTGCAGCACTGCATCAATCAGCTCGCATTTTCGCGGTAGGACGCTGATGACGTCTAATCTCCGATGACCATATCCAAATGCGTGCGGCATATTACACCTGCGTCAAAAAAAAGAAGGGCAAACGCAAAGCGTTAAAGATGTACAAACCGGCATCTGTCAGCCACAAAAGTTGCCCATGTAAAATTCATGGAACGAACGACCGTTACGTTTAGCTTGTGCATTTAAAGGCTACATAGGAAAATTTTTCAGACGAGAGGAGGGGAGGAATGGGTGTGGAAATTGGACGAGAGGGTAATAAAAGTGTGCAATTTTCTCTTTTTTTCTTTTTCTGCGCAAATGCTCACCCGGATCACGTTTCGCTTCTCTTCTAATTAAGGACAATGACGGCCCCGCGAGTTTCGCCCACAGGACTTATGTTAGCGTATTTATGATATGGAGAGGGTTATATTGAGGAATTAAGAAGCGGTAGGGGTTGACGATGGAAGAAAAGGGAGAAATTTTCGGAGGGGCGTCACTCCCCCAGGAGGGGGATTGGAACGCGCGTCTATACTCGGCACGCATCCACTTGAAAGAGCATGAAATGCGGCTTACGTAAAGGCAGCGTGACGTCAGTAGCCGTAGACAAAGAAGCGACGCCCGGTAACGCCCAGGAAGTGGATGATGGCGCGAGGTCGGAACGAGCACCCTACAATCATACTATATCGCGAGGCGTCTAGCAAACTGCCGAAACAGAACGCTTTTGCAGTAACCCCAGTATCGCGACAGCGCTCGGCGCTAATGGACCGACTTCCGGCACCGACATACATCAACGAACGAGCACGTATAGTTTTCGATTCACCGCAAAAGCGTCTATATCGACGAAAGCATGCAGGTCGGCGACAACGTAATTACGTGCAAACATTTACATAGATCGGTCGAGACGTGCGACAAACGCGCGTCATGCATGATTGGTCACGGAGCGCTTTAATGCACCTTCCATTTGGCCGATTGCTAAAGCAACACGCTATTTGTCGATGAAAAACTCGCTACATGCTTTCTCCATTAGTACTTCTACACCACCAGGTGACGCCTATGACGCCTCATCTCCTCCCTTTGCTGATCTCGCTATGTCTCTTTCGTCTTCCTCTATATACAGTGTTTGCATACTAATCTAATATAGACGTACAAACGCGACGGCATCGACTGACCGCTGAGCTGTTTGAAACGGAGATGCGTTGATTAAATTGCTACACTATAAATCCAGTGGCCCCGCAACGTCATCAGCAAATTGCTGCTAGGGCAAGTCTACAACACCCCTAAGGCCGACGTGATGGAGAAGGAAGTGGCGACGACTGCCAGATTGCATGATTGCGCCACATTGTACGGACGCCTGTCACCAATCATTCTCAATCACGTCTACCCCCTGAAGAGAGCGTTCGGCGAGTCGCTACCTGAAAGCGTCGCCGTTACGTTGGCGAGTAATTTCATTCGGCGTCGACGTCTAATCAGATATTGGTCAGTGATGCATCGTGGGTGGGCGTGTCCCCTCTGAATGGTTGAGTAGTTGAAGCTAAGTTTCCAACGTTCCTAAGGCCCTTCTTTTCATTTGAAAAAAGCTTCTCTCAGGTCCTTCCCAGTACAAACTTTGACGCTTCCCCTGCGGCGAAAAACACGTAC